TTCATTACTTTAAAATCTTCCATGTGTGATTGGTTGGGATTGACAGCCACAATCATTGATCATCCTTGGCGGAGCTATCAGATGTTATAATCTGTCCCAAAGATGTGTCTGATTGATTTACTTCTTGTCTATATATGCGTCCTAATTCAGGGGCTAGTTCAGTGACGCTAGCTCTGCCGCTCTTCACAACGGCAGAGATAAGCTTTTGTACCCCCAAAAGTGTCGACCATTGCCTAAAAAAGTTCACAGATAACTTTAGAAGTCCTTTTTTTCACCACCATCCTCGTCCCATAATCTTCTTGAGTCGTTTTGTTTCAATAACATTAAATACTCTTCATTTCCAGCCATGTTGTGTCTGAAAACGTAAGCCCCACAACAATCAGCATTTGTTTCATTTGTCCATGCATTTATTAAGCTTTTACCTTTATTTTGTCACTATCCATTAAAAAAAGTGTAAAAATGTCAGAAGCACTTTCTGATATAGCCTACTTCAGTATTACCTATTCCTCAGAATACTATTGAGTCAATACACAAATTGTGCAGCATTGTTTACCCAGGGTAATGACAAGGTCAACTGTTATTATTTCTCATTAGTAAGTTCAAGTTGGAAAAGTTACCTTCTCACAGTCCACACTGCACACACAGCTCATGATAGACAAATAGCAATATGCCTTCAAAGCCAGGCTCCAGTCCTGCTTGTTATAAATTACACTTAAAATGGATTATTATTGTTTTGCTGTCGACTGGGTGACTGCACACTACAGGCTGTGAACCTAACTCAGGAACATTTAATGCTGATCACTGCACACAACTGCACTTAAAGATGAAACAGCAACTTTTAGTCATGTTAGAGGTTATAATTAGGATTTTACTTTGTATCACTAATATTTCCCTCTGCCTAATTATCTGCTGAGAAGGCCACTTCAGGCCAACCTCCATGCCTTCATGGAGATTTACTCTTTTGTTCTTCTTCATGAATTATTTACTCCACATCTGAATTGATCTCCTGCTTGTCAATAGGTTAAGGCGCATCGTGATCAATGAGCAATAGCTCAAAATGAATAAGGCTATAAATCTGGAATAGACCTCAGGAACCTTGAGACGTCATCAATGTGCACACAGTTCTCAGGGCTAATTGGTGCTGGATACGAGTCATTATATGGAAAACACAAATTAAGATTAAACAATGACAATCAGACTGTTGAATGTCAAGTCATTGTTATCTACAGCTGGGGTGAGCTCAGTCCATCAATGCTGCAAAGAGGGAGAACATAGTGCACAATATACACATACAAGGAACTGTAACATCTGCTGTGTAACGTTCACGCATTTTAGTGTGACACTTCCTGTTTTATTTAGTTTTTCATCACTGTGTTCATGGACTCCAGCTTCACTTCCTCCGACAGTTCAGTGTCATGCCACATACCTGCAACTTGCACCTCATCACCACTCACTTACCGAGTATATGCTTATACTCCACTTCTCTGCTAGATTGTCTTTTGTTGCCACCATGTACTGAGCTCTCCTACATTTTCCCAGAGTTGCTTCCATTGAATTTGTCTGCTAGTTTTATTGAATTGTTTTTCTCTGTATAACCTTCGCCAGTTTCAGTAAAGACCTTAATTGTCCCTGTGTTTGGGTCTCCTGGTTTCAGCATTGTTACAAGAGCATTGGTTTAGATTCCTGCTCTTCTGTTGTATTATTTGCAAACAGCAACATGTATTATATATATTTCCTTTATGGCCTGAATTCACAAACTACAACAAAAGTTAGAGGCCTTATCATAGCTCTAAAGCCAGGGCATACACTGTGCGATTTGAGCCCTTTTTTCAACCATGTTCTGAGCGGGGCAACTAATTAGAGTCTGACTGAGTTTCAGCTTCACTGTCATGTGTACAGGGGGGTGCAAGGAACTTCAGATGTAGTTTATGGCTGGAAGTTTTGCACAGCAAGCGAGAAAAAGAGGGCCAAGAATGAGCTAGAACACTACAGTAATCAGAGCCTAGCTAGTGATTGACAATACAGTACTGTGGGTGTGGAGTTGGCTCCAAGAGCGCCTCCAGCTCTACCAGTGAGGGTAAATTGGCACAGCTCTATTGGCCAATTACTTTTTATATCCAGGGATACAATTGGCCAATGGAGAGCTGACACGAGGGGACACACACAGGGAGGCACTGAATGTGTTTTTGGCTTTAAGTTTCCTGAATTTATTCATCACCAATCATCACCAATATCCCTGGTCACTAATAAACATGTTAAGTAGCAACCAGGTGTTGTGTGCTTGTCTTGGGAGCCCCCCTTGGCAAGAGCCTTTGCCTCAAGTAGCCTTGAAAATAGTTTGTCTTCTCTGTTTTAGAGGTTTGTTAAAAAACAAACATAATTTTCCTCTTTGACAAAAACACCGGTCCAGAGCTGGTCCAGTGGAACCGACAGTGACAAAGTGTGAGCACATAAATTGTGAGCTTTGGTTTTTCATCTCAGTCAATTGTATGCAGTAATTGGAACCTGCTGCTGTTGACACCATTGACATCAGCAAACTACTCTATAGCTTTGACGGATACAATGTAAACAGGGATTTGAAAAGAGATCACCTCTTCAAAGTGCAACACGCAAGCAAGCTGATTTACACTGTGTTTTTAGCCTAAAAGTCCACCCGAAGTGGCTAAGCTAGCGTACAATGGTGTGTCCGAGGGTCCGTGAGTGCACCTCATAGAAAGATATCTATATCTCGGATATTTAGGCTACAAACATGGTGTAAATTACCTAATTTTCAAGTCGACTATGGATGTCCGGGCTTGCAGACACTTGGATGACACCACACGAGCAGTATGGAGGCATATAATGTTTTGTCTGTTGTTTTATAACATCTGAAGTCTCAGTCACCATTTACTTCAATTGTATCGGATTCGGCTGCTACAAAGTTTACTTCTGAGACTCCATATGTTTTTTGTGGACTCAAACACTTCACCCACCCCTTCATCTGCATAGTGGTGAGTAGATAATGAGTGAATTTACATTTTTCAGTGAACTATCCCTTTAAGTAAACTTGGTTGAGTGTAGAATCATTGCCGGAACTAAAGGAAACTTCTCAAATTTAACAAAATCCTTCTCAAAAATAATAATAATAAAATAATTTTAAAAAATTTGGTTAAAAAAAAGTGATCTGTGCATAAATACTTTCTGCCTTGTGGGAATCAGTTAAGGATCTTAACATGTCATTGCACTATGTCTAATTCCTGTTATGAGCGACAGGAACTATTTTACTCTGACAGGAACTATTTTACTCTGACTTTCTCAACTACAAGCAGCTCTGAAGTATGGGTTCACTTAAGCCGGGCATACACTGTGCAACTTTAAGATTATTGTTTAAGTCCTCCAACTTCGCATAGTCATTGAAGAGGAGTGGACCAATATTCCACAAGCCACAATCAATAACCTGATCAACTCTTTATGAAGATGTGTCGCACTGCGTGAGGCAAATGGTGTAATACTGACAGCCCCCTCCAAAAATACCACATGCGAAACTGTTGTTTAGGCCCTAATAGAGGTCTGCACATTTCAGAGTGGCTTTTATTGTGACCAGTCCAAGGTACATCTGTGCAATAATCATGCATTATAATCATCATCTTTTGATGTAACACCTGTGAGGTGGCCACTAACACAGATTTTAACAAATTTGGGAGAGAGAAATAAGCCTTTAGTTTGCATAGAGGAAAGTTCATAAAAAATATGAGTGAAAACCAGTGTTGAGTTTATATTATAGTGTATTTATCATTAATGCACTGGTATTATATTTATTTTATTACTAGGATATTCTTACAAAAACTAAATGGATACACAAAGCATAAGGGTATACATGTATGTGAGGGCATGCTAAATGTTGAGTACTCTTAAATGAGTGTGACAGTTGTGACAGTGGTCGCTGGCTCAGCTGACATCGTTACGTTCAATAAAGCTTATTTTTAAGTGATGAATCTAAAAGCCAAATAAAAATCATAAGTAGCTACATTGTTGCTGCAGACCATTTAAACTGTTTTAGCTATTGCTATTTTTTCTAAACTTTTAAAATCATAAAAAACTAAATGAATATTTCAAACACATCTAAACCTACAAATAGCTGACATTACTGCCAAAACAACCAAAGCCTGTATGCACTCAGCTGTTTGCCAGTGGAGATGTTTTCAAATAAATTCCACTGAATATGACAGTAAGGGCCAATTTGGCCCACAGGGAGCAACATTGATTGGTGGGTTGGTAAAAGGAGGGTGATCTTGTCATCAATGTCAGCTCCTGAGCATCAATGCACATCGACACAGAGAGAGGTAATGGTATCGGCTCACCTGATGAGCATCGAGATCGATGATGGTCGCCCTGGAGATGCCTTCCACTCTCTCAAACAGAAACTGAGACATGAATGAGAAAAAAAAAAAAAATTCTTTCTGAAGATTACACACTCACAGCTTGGATCCTCACTGAGGGATTCCAAAGTCAAACTTTTACTTCTGAGACAGAGGTACTTCTAAATTCAAACTTAGAAACATCCACAATAACCTGGTTATGGTCATACTCATCTATTGCAGAAAGCAGTGGGATGTCTTTCTGAGATCTACTTATTGTCACAGGTTACAGGTGCATGGTAGAAATTGTACACATTACTTTTTTGGCAGTAATGTTTGGATTTGGCAGCAACAGTGTTTACCCCTGAGACTCTTGAAGAAGTGATTTTTAAGGACTCAAACACTTCACCCACCCCTCCATTGGCATATCATTTTGAAGCAAATTTCGATACATAAAGAATAATGACACCATGAGCATTTAGTTTGGTACCCTATTATCCAAAAGGTCTCTATTGGTTCTATACTGGCCTCAATTCCATTATGCAGTTCTGACTGCCAATAGATACTTCTCTTCACCCCAGTAGCTCAGGGTAGTGTTGGACGAAGGGGTCATGGGGTCAATATCCACAATTCTCATTCAGTACAAAGCTCAATTCCAAGGTCCTGATGAAAATTACAAGTAATTGCAGAGTTTTATTGCTTATCAATGTGGTTTCCATTTTAAAGAGGAAAGTTGTGTTAAAGGTTCAGTGTGTAGAATTTAGTGACATTTAGTGGTGAAGTTGCATGTTTCAGTTGAACACCCCTCACCTCACCCTCTCCTTCCAAACATGAAAGAAAACCTCTTCAGTCATAAAAACTCAAAAGGTGTTTAGTTGGTCCAGTCTGGGTTACTGTAAAAAACATGGCGGCCTCCGTAAAAAAGACCTGCTCCCATATGTAAATATAAATGGCTCTTTCTAGGGTAATGAAAACAATAATTTGTACAATTTCGATGAAACACTAGGATTATTTCATATTCAACAATCGATCCCTTTCACCTAAATCTTACACACTGGACCTTTAATCAATTCGATAGTAACATAATCTCACTTTAATCATGGAAGACTTTTACCTGAATCTGAAAAACGGGATTCTCCTGTGTGAATGTTTTCAATGAGGTTAACCTGTCAACAACATGAGTCTTACCTTGACGGCCAGAGTGATGTCAGCGTAGGCACAGAAGCCCCCTCCCTTGTCACTGGAGCAGTGGTGGAAGCCTCCTCCTGGGAAACAAAGAAATTACCTGACTCAGTGTCAGGGCCATTAGACCAATCGAGCAGGTCAATGCACATCTGAGGGGTCTGTTGTTCAAAATGACCATAATTGGTGATGTAAAATAGGCTGTTATTGAATAAATTTAAAACCGCTGCACTTCCCTTGTGGAGCAACAATTGGCATATCGACAACTGGATGGGACTGTTCAATTGCTACCTCAGCAGGAATGCACAGCGATGGAGAGATAGACTATAATGGAGAGGGGCACTATTTTAATTGGGATGATAACCATTCATTCGGGTGAAGAGTTATTGTCCCCTCTGCCCTGCTATGCTCATGTTCATTAAACCATAGTGTAGAGTAGAATGTTAATACAGGCCAGTAAGCCGATGAGTGAAATATGATAAGCATTTATTGCCTCCAAAAATAGTCTTCCATAAAGCCTCTACAACCTCATAGTGTTGAGACACACAATATGCAGATGTCTGGTGCATCTGCATATCCTTTATATCTTCATTAAAATCATGTTTATTGATGCAGAATAATATTTCCCCCAATTCATCAACAGAAGGTGTGAAAGAGCTGAGTGAGCAAGACGTACAAAGTTAAACTCTGATGGGCTGTTTGGTTTTTTGCCTGCTTGGCACAAATCAGGAAGGAGGAATAAAGCATGACCCTGGTTTTTCAGCCAAATACTTCCCACTCTATCAGCCCGACCACTGATGGCAGCGAGTCAAGAAGGAAACCCAACAGCAACACCCCCAAAAGAAGTGATAAGATGGTATCAACATGAATTTAGGGAACACAGTTATATATTATTATAATAAATGAGGTTTTTTTTCAAAATATAATACATCCTTCTATTAAAAGGTCAAATTATGAAGAATCAGTTCTGCAAGTGTTCAGTGTTCACCTTTATCGACTGTATATCAAACCTGGCAAATCGCACTGATAATCACCACACAAAGATACATAGGTCATGACAATGATATCAGCAAGGGCAAGTTTCTCAGATCTCAGAGAACCTAGTGAGCTGCAGGAAGAAGGTTCAGGACAGATGTCTGAAGCAGAAGCAGTTTGATGATGCTCAGGATAAGCAATACAAGTTACTGCTATGTAATGCCACCCAATTATAAAGGCTGCACTTTTACAGGGTGTATTTAAAACCCAAATGTCCTCACACGGCGCAAGGTCACCATCACCTCTGTCCCAGTTTACCCAGTTTACCCAGAGTTCTCCTTTCACACACGCACATATTAACTCTGCTGCATGGATCAGGTGATTTTGTTTACACCAACCCAACACTGCTCAAACTCTCTTGACATCTTCATCTGTGTCTTCTATGTGTGTCACACCGCTGTTTCACTTTGTTTTTTCATGATTTTATCCATCGGACATTTATGACATGTGGCAGATTTAGATGAGATTCCGTCAAAGTGATCCTCCTCATATTGCATATTGAGTAAACAAGAATAGGAAAGATGACTTTGACGACCAAAACAGTTTATCCTCGAATCAATGTGAATGTGTGTGCCACAGTCAAAGAATTTCGTTCAATCTGTTCATGTGATATCCCATTCACAAGAAACATGCGAAAAAAGATAACATGGGATTCGTTCCGTATTTGGAATTTGAAATGTATTCCATTTTCTTCTGCAGAGGCATTTCAAAAGTAAACATAGTTGCAGACCTTTTAGAAATATCACCTTTTCATTAGTGTTATGTGATAAATTTGAATTTGTCAACAAATACAAAGGAGACAAAAAATAGACCTGACAAGCAGAGGTGTGAGGCAAACCTGAAAAGTGCTTGCTACCTAGCTGAAGATATAATCTTCACCAACAGCTAGGGGAGGTGGATACGACTCTGGAGCACACCAGGAGAGGGTGACACACTTCAACAGAGAGCCCTCATGGAAGCAGCCATGACACAACATAACTAAATGTGGGAATATGCTTAACTACTTTTTTCATCTGAAAAAAAGACCACTTTAAAGAAACTGAAGCATGAGATCGTATTTCATGCAGAAAGGCTGCTCACAAATCAGGACGTTGTTGAATAGCCGATGGGCACCTGTTAAGTGCAACAGTAAATGATGGAACCAATTCAAAACCTGCAGAAATCACCTGAGAGAGAGAAAGATTGATCGAGGAATTACGGTGAACACAGCGACTTCTCCCAGAGTTCTACAGACTTTATACTAGGTTTAAATCAAAGAGCTAATTTCAATTTATTCAACTTAAACTTCCTTTATTGATCCCACAAGGGGGAAATTCTTTTTACACTAATTTCACATTTTTATACACGCAGTTTTACCCACAATCCCACACACACAGAGGGCTCAAAGACATGCACATTTTTGGAGAGATATTGTAGAGTGATGGGCAGCCCCAGGAGAAGCGCCCTGTGAGGGGGTATGGTGCCTTGCACCTCAGCAGTGCCCAGGAGGTGAACTGACACCTCTCCAGCTACCAGTCCACCGTCCATACTCATGGTCCATGCTGGACTTGAACCGGCCACCCTCCGGTTCCCAAGCCAAATCTTTTATGGACTGAGCTACTGCTGCCCCTGCACTGACAGATTATATCAAGGTGAAAGACAAAGACACTAAGGACCTAAGGGAAGGAAATTGCCAGGCTAAAGGTGGCGGAAGAGCAGGAGAAGCAGTTTGTCCCTGTGTCAATGGTCCAAGACCTCCAGGAAGAGACCAGCGTCTTCCCCCTCAAAAAACTCCTGGAGCCAACAACAAGGAAGGCTACAACATGAAAAATAGGACAGGCAACAAGCACCTTGGATGGTCCATACAACCTGTTTTATTTGATTTCTTGGTAAATTAAGATGATGTTGCCATATTAAAAACATGGCTTATGAAATTGCATCAAACCATCAGTCAAATAATGTCAGCCTTCTGTTGCACAGATGTTTCATGTCTGGGTTTCTCAGCCAATAATGTCGCGAAACAAAGGGTTTCCAGTCAAACAGTTCAGACCAGTGACAGAATTGAGAGGCTGCACCTTCATAATGTGGCAGGTGTGATGATGTCTCCTCGTTTTACTAAAATATCAGGTACCTCCTTTAAAATAAGGAAAAAAAATACCTCTTCAGCTTCAGTGTCTAATATTGTAACATTACACAGATTAAATCATGAGTTTAAAGACTGAATGTTAGCCATAGGTAGGAACCAATATTACTGTTTCTCCTCAATACTGAATAAAACCTAAAATCTGTGTATTTGCAGAGTTTATATCAGATACTATTGCCCAAGATACTATTTGCCCAAATATAAATCTGTACCTTGGCTTCATAAAACTGTATTGTAGGTTTGGTTGTTACCTGAAATCACTACTGCAGTTGACTGCAATCTGTTGTTTCTTTCATCATGCGTTTAAGAACAACATACTTTTGAAAGGAAACCATTCCAGGCAAATATAATCCAGGCTCGAAGGTGTATTGTGCATAATAATGTATTGTGTCGGAGACATGGCTGGACCATATACTGTAGGCTCATATAAAAATGGTGAGACACAATAACAGGTCACATACTTTTCCCTATTGGAGGTAAATCATTATCAGCTGAGTACAGATGGACTGATTTTCTAATTATTCCAGAACTTACCCACATTTATGGCCCACCCTCGGTCAACAGCCAATTTCCCTGCCTGTGGAAAAAACAATATTTTAGTTCAACATTTAATATCAACATAGACAAATGCATAAATGGCCCTGAGATGCAGCATTTCAATTTATAAAATAAAAAATGCAGCAAAAGTCAAGTGTTTTTTCTCTGTGACCTTAAAGGTACAGTGTGTAGAATTTTGTGATATCTAGTGTTGAAATTGCATGTTGCAGCTGAACACCCCTCACCTCACCCTCTCCTTCCAAACATGAAAAAGAACCTGTGGTAGCTTCAGTTGTCATAAAAACTCAAAAGGTGTTTAGTTTGTTCAGTCTGGACTAATGTAAAACACATGGCGGCCTCCGTAGAGAGGGTCCCCTCCATGTAAATATA